GTCAGTAATAATAAATTGTCAGTATGAATTTTAATATAGTGATTTCACTCTGCTTCTTGCTCCAGATTACAGATTTCTGGAAGGAGGCATTGATGTTGAGTTCATTGCATAATCCAAATGTTGTCTCCTTTTATGGCATTGTTCGTGATGGCCCTAAGAGTTCTTTAGCAACAATCACATACTGAGATATTGAACAACGAACATTTGAGCAAGCTACCTTGCCTTACCCTGAGATGAGGATCTTTGAAACAGTTCTTGCATAAGAAAGATAGGTAATTTGATGCATTGATAGCTTTATATTTCATCAATATTTAATGTTTTGAATAACTTCCCGTTGGAATACCTTCATGGATCTTGTGATGTATTACTTATGATGTTTATTCTGAGCAATTTAACAGAACAATTGATCGTCGTAAGAGACTCATTATAGCCATGGATGCTGCTTTTGGGATGAAGTATTTGCATGGAAAAAACATTGTGCATTTTGATTTGAAATGTGAGAATCTATTGGTTAATATGAGAGATCCTCAACGCACTATCTGCAAGGTACTAATAAGAATACACTCACTGATGCACACGAAATTCGACCCACAACGGGAGACTGAAATGAGGCTTGTGTATTTTTCCAGATTGGTGATTTGGGTTTATCAAAGGTTAAACAGAACACTCTAGTGTCTGGTGGAGTACGTGGGACTTTACCAGATTGGTGATTTGGTTTTGGCTTCACACTCCTAATACTCTTTTCATTTTTTACGATGATCAAAGTCTATACTTGCTTGTGATGTAGATTGATGTGTATCATTCAGAGTAGTTATGTGGGAGTTGCTCACAGGGGAAGAAGACATTCCCTTGATGATAAAAGAACAGAAAAGAAAGCACTGTTATATATTATTTTTGAAATTGAAATTCAGGTGCCAATGATGAAAAAAAGAATAGGTGTTACAGATAACTGCCAGAACCGTTGTGTGCACAATTCATCAACCAATCATAGACATTTTTGAAGCTTTTAATGAGGTAAATTGATAATATGAAATTATTAGAGTTCATATTAGAGTTCATGATATTTTCTTATTTAAACGTATAAATGAATATTTTTCTATAGGCTATTCCAGGTGTTTCAAGAATCAACTATGGCTATAATCCTGCAACATTGATGCTTGAGATTAGCAATCCTTCCTATGAAGCTCAACTTGGCATGGATTTTTCGGAGATTTACGTTAACTCTACCTGTAAGTCTTTTCCTATGATTTATTACTATAGTTACGAAAACTCTAGCTTTACGAATAGTAACTTTATTTTCTTTATACCTTCGGCAGAAATAATCAAGAGCTTATTAAAGAACTCAGTACTCCACCGCTAGATTCCAATGACTTGCACTACCCAACCAAATATTCCCAGTCATTACTTGATTATTATATGCAACGCATAGGTCTAATTGCATTCGTGAAAGAAAAGAAGATAGTCGAGGCTCTTTTATTGAAATCCTTTCTTTTAAATTAGTTTAATTGTTAGGAAAGATTAGAGAGTTTTGTACAATCTTATCATTCAGGCAGCCAGTCTGACCCATATATTTGTTTCTGAAACATTTTAGCTATTGAAGACATTTCCAAAGGCAACAAATTATCTCAAGAGTATGTTTTGTAGATTCTCTCCTTTATTTATTGAAATGCTCAAGCTTTAGGAAGAATCATTTCTCTTTTACATCTTTGTCAAAGCAATTGTAAATTTAATGGATGAAATGAATTATATTTTCTTAGTTCTATTGAATATGATCATTTTAGGCTATATTGATTATAAACTGAATGGATAAATTGATTTGATGTCAAATGTAATAATGATTTTTTTTTTAAAAATAAGTTTTTATGACGTACATAACAATGTATGTCATAATAGGTTGATTCTTAAAAGCATATATTATAACTGGTAAAAATATCTATGTCATAATAGGTATGCTCATTTTATAACGTAGCAGAAAAGTACGTCATAATATGTTAAACCTATTATGACGTAAATTTCTGCTATGTCATAAAATGCACAGACATACTATAACACCCATAACTATGTCCCAGTTTATCCGTCATAATATGTCATTTTTGTACGTCATAAAATGTGATTTTTGCACTAGTGAACTAGTAGATTCAGTGTTATTAAAGTCACCCGCACAACCCCTTTTGCAGTCACATGCACATAGTTAAATTCAACCCTTCCTTTTCTTTTCAATCCAAATAAATCACATAATTTTAACAAATGAAAAGGCAAACTTTTCTGCTCACAATTCACTTTGGACCAAGATAGGTGTAGGGGACAACAAGATCCTTAAGATTTATGATTTTTATGGCCGCTTTGCTATTTTTTGGATTTTACATTGACACAACAAAGGGAAGTTTTGATTGTATTGAATTTGTGGAGAAAATATGGAAAGAATGAGATGATGCAAGGAATTGATAAAATATGTTGGTGGAAAGGAGAAACAAATATAAAATAAATGCATGCAGAGATAAAGAAGATAATGATTTGAATTTGATGTTATTGTGTTGCCTTTTTTTTTCTTTTTATTATCATTATACAATTAACACTATCAATAAAAATTTAACGGAATAAACTTGATTAATGCACATTAAACTAACTGTGAATAAAGTTGGCATAAACCAAATATACCTACCTTTTTTAGAGTGAGAACCACCCAAGCAAGTAAACTTTTTTATTACCTGTTAATATAATATAATATAAATAAGTTTTATGCTCCAATATATTCCCTGATTTCCTTTCGTGTGTTTAATAAATTATTTTCAAATTATGTATCTAATAGACTATAAAATTTTAGTTTAAGTTCATAAAAAATATTTATTTGTATTTTAATTGTAATATTATATTATTTTTTAACTAGGTTTTAAGATTTCTTTTTTAATTTCTCTATTCATTTGTTAACTTATTTTTTTATTTATTTTGGCAACTGACATGTTTTTTTTTATGGTTAAACTTCTTTAGTTGTCCCTATTTATGTAGAGTTTTCCCAATTCAATTCTAATTTTTTTAAAATTTCTAATTGAGTCCTAAATAGTGCTAATTTGGATCAATTGGGTCCCTACCGTTAAATTTGACTTAACGGGGTTCAGTTTTGCTGAGGTTAGAAGTTGACGTGACAAATTTTTTAAACCTGGCATTTAGAGAGCTTACGTGTAATTTTAAAACATTTTAACATTTTGAGTAAAAAATTAAAAAAAATCATCTTCCATCCATTTCAGTCAAGTCATCTTCCATCCAGAACTAGAGAACCCAATCGCGCAGAACCACCATCATCTTCCTCGTGCACCATCAACCTGCAATCAAGTAACCACAAAATCAAAATAGTGACTCTGCCATGTTCACTTTAATTCATCTCCTTCCATCCAGCACCACGAAGGCACTTTAATTCATTTCCTTCCATCCAGCACCTGAAGGCAAATCGCCACCATGACCAACGTAACAATGCTCAAGCTCTTTGCACCCAATCGAACTCATCATCATCATCTATTTTCTTCTCCATTAAACCATTTGAAACATGTAAAAAGAAAACAAAATCACAAATCTGAAAATCCCCAAATTAGTCCCCAACCCTAAATCACGCCAGACACAAATTGAACAAATTGAACTATTTGAAAACCAGTTTTCCGGTGAATTACCTTAAGGTTTAGGAAACCTCAGTAGTTTAATTCTCTTGGACCTCTCTCAGAACACTCTCACAGGGGAACTACCACATGCAATAGCCTCTTTGCGTCTCTATTCTCTTAACCTAAATGACAACCTTCTCGGGGGAAATTCCTGAAATTTTAGCTTTAAATCTACATCAGCTGAAATTCTTCAACAACAGCTTCACTGGGAAACTTCCACAAGATCTGGGACAAAACTCAGACATACAAGATCGCTTCTCCTCCAACCCTCCGCCAGCCTCAACAACCGCTTTCTCCCCCGTCCTGACCACATCTCCACCGGCGCCGTTTTGATCTGCGATGACGACGTGGAGGTGGACTCAAAGTCGTAGGAATTCGCATTCCGCCGGCATGGCTCGCGCGCGGGGGATCGTGGACGCGGTGCGGAACTTTGAAGATGTGTTGATGAACTTGGTGGTGGCAGAGGAGGCACAGGTGGGTCCATTGCTGGTGGGGGCGAAGAGAGTGAGGGATTACGGGGACGCAAGGAACGAGGGGGAGGAAGGGGTGAGGATGGGGTTGAGTAGTAGGAAAGGGGAGCACAGGAAGAGAAGAGGGTGGTGCATTGGGGTTACTTGATTAAAATGTTTCTTGATTGTAGAGTCACTATTTTGATTTTGTTTTCCAGGTTGATGGTGCATGAGGAAGATGATGGTGGTTCTGTGCGTTTGGGTTGTTTAGGATGATGCTTGACTGAAATGGATGGAAGATGGAAGATGACTTCTTTTTTTTAATTTTTTAATCAAAATATTAAAATGTTTTTAAATTACACGTAAAGCTCTCTAAATGCCAGGTTTAAAAAATTTGTCACGTCAACTTCCAATTTCAGCAAAACTTAACCCCGTTAAGTCAAATTTAACGGCAAGGACCCGATTGATCTAAATTAGCACTATTTAGGACTCAATTGGGAATTTAAAAAAAACAGGGATTGAATTGAGAAAACTCTACATAAATAGGGATAACTAAAGGATTTTAGCTTTTTTTTTATCTTATGTGTATTATAGATACATGTAACAAAAATAAGTTAATTTATTAACAATATAAATTACGTGATATCTAATTAGTAAAAATAGTAAAAATTAAAAAAGGAATTAAAATAAAATCATTTATTTATTGTATATCTAATTTTAGGAAAACAATTATTGGGTACGTAAATATCAATTATACATTATTGAAGTCTATATTTTTTTTTATTTATTGATTGGTTTGTATATATCTATTGATGATTAATTTTTTCACATTTACTTGTTCTTAGACCTACTCCGTTGAAGTGAACCTGGTATTGGCCGAAAACAAAACCTTAAAAACACATTCAATTAAATTAAACTAACTCCCTCCCTCTGTCTAAAACCCAAACCCTCAATAGTCAATAGTAGTAATACTAAACCTTGTGCTGCCGCGCTTCCTCTTCTGCGCCGAACCATGGCGTGCGTGGATCCTCCAAGGAAGAAGAAGAAAGGAAGATACGGCGTCGCAGAATTGAAAACCCTAGGCAACCAGCTTCTCTCCTCCGCCTCGCACATCAACAACCTCCCTCTTCTTCTCACATTCCTTTCCCCTTCTTCTCCTCCTCACCATGTCCTCGAATCCCTACTCTCTCTCCACTCTTTCTTCCTCCCTCTTCTACCAAAGCTCCCTTCCTCCTCCGCCGTCGCTACCTCCGCCGTCGCTACCTCCGCGGCTGCTCCCTCCGCTGCTGACCAGTCCGAGTTCATCTACCTCACCTGGCTCCGCTCAAAATTCGATGAGTTCCTCAAGTCACTCCTCGACATTCTTGCCTCGCCACAGTCCGACGAGACGCTCAAAGAACTCGTGCTGGACACGCTCATGGAGTTCGTGAAGGTGGCCAATGGCGGCGTCTTCCACTCTGCTTTGTACCACAAACTTCTCCTTAGCATTGTACGTCATGCCAATTTTGTTGATAAATGTTGTTGTTGTTGTTGTTGTTGTTGTTTCGATCTGATTTTGTTGGTTTTGGACTGGTGCTATCAGGTTCGCTCCACTAGTCCGGCTACGTTTGTTGTGGATCTTCTGGAGTCGAAGTATTTCAAATATATTGATGTCCGGTATGGTTGTTATGCTCACATTGTTTTTCTACACCAACTATTCGTTCATTTCACGTTTTTTAGCATGGTTCTTTTATATTATTATGATTTATGGAATATATTGTTTCGCTCTTAGCCCCTGTTATGGAAGGCTGAATTTATGTAGTTTGTGTGATGGGGATGAATTTGTTAGTCCTTAATTCACTGACACGATTTTCTTGTTGATTTTTACCTGAGCCACTGTTTAGTGAATAATTGTTGTTGGTTATGGAGTTTTGTTTGTTTGCTGAATTATTACTTGGTGCAGCTATTTTACATTTATAAGTCTGAAAAAGCTCGCTAGTACTTTGGAAGGCAAAGATGAATCAGGTGCTTTTCTAGCCTTTCTTTTGTCTTAGTCGTCTAGGTTTTAATATGTGAAATTGCAAACAGGAGACTTGTGTATTATATTTTCGATTTCCCACCATTTGAATTTTAGTTCATTGGATAATTTGTTTGCTTATCCCTGTCAGATGACAAAATTGCAAGTGCAGATGGCAACAATGAAAGTCAATTGAGCTCAAAGTTAGTAAGACCTATGACAGTTGCTTTGAAGCTACTTCCATGGTTTTCTATTTCCTTCCTTAGTCAATACATGTTTGTAGATCATTGTTGTTAGTAGCCTAATATTAGTGTAAATTGATTTTTTCTTTTTTCCTTGGTCGTAAACCATGCTTACAACATGCTATAGCATATAGGCAATGTATTTAGTTTTGCAACTCAGTGCTATATAGGAGATGAATACTTTACTTTAAAAAACTTGTTCTTATGATAAGTTGAAAATGGGCTATTTTCAGAATGGAATGTTTCATCCGCAATATGTACTATACTATATCGCACGTTCCCCCTCTCCAAGGCAATAATACATCTGATTTGGAAATGTGGAGCAGCTCAGGTGAGTTCTCATTTACTTTTTAGACATTTTTTCTAAAAAGCTATGTATCACAATATTTAGTGCCTCCATGCCCCTTCTCCTTTAGTACTCTGTAGTTAATGCTATTTCCTTTTCGATTAAGGAACTATAAAAGTGTACCTGTATTTTTCATTTGGGTTTTTTGTCCATAGAAAGTGACCAAAAGCAGCATTATGGAGATGCGAGTGTTGATGATAAGCTGCTGAAGTCCAAGAAGCCTAACAAAAATGTAAGTTATTATTCCATACTCTTTGCCAAGTTAAATGTTACTCCCCATTCTATTTCCTTTTTCATTATTGAGCATCACGTATCCTCCAATTTCCTAGTAGTTTTGATATATTTAATTTTATGATTTTATATATTGTAGAACCTTCTCATTTAAGCACTCGTCATTGTTTGTCTACTGTTTTTTACTGTCTATTTTCATGTTTCACGTATAGGTATTGTCAGCAGAAAAAATTACCAAGAAGATGAAGTTAAAATTTACAAAAGCCTGGATTGCATATCTTAGATTGCCACTTCCACTTGATGTTTACAAAGAGGTAATGTAAAAGTTATGATTTTGAAATTTGAATATAGCTGCTGAAACCTGGTATAAATTCCATATTTAAGATATCTCAAGGTTGTCATGAGATTCAATGTAGGGGAAGAAGTGGAAAGAAACACAAATGTTGGGATTGTGACATGGATTGTATGATCCTATTAGAAGTATGAAACATGTGTGTCTGAAAAACTTTCTTTAAATCCCAACCAGTACTTAAGCATTCAAATAATGATTGTTGTTCTCACCTTCCTATGGTTTCATTGTTTAGATATGTAACAAGAGTTCAAAAAGGAGAACTGTTAAGTTAGTTGGACTAGTTAGAAGAGATTGGTCATAAACAGGGGAAATTGGATTGATAAGGGGCATTCTACGAATTTGATAGTTTGTGCCAGTGAAAGGGGAAATCCTCGGAGAGAACTCTAATTTTCATCTTTTGTTCCATTCTCCAATAATTTTCTGGGGACATGAGAAGTGTGGATCTCTTGATTTCGCATGTTTACCTGATAATCTTGCAATGAGAACCAAAATGGGTTTAAAGTCGTTGGCTCCTATGTTCCTACACTTAACATTAAAGTTTTAACAACAATGAACATAAGATTTATAAATACAATTGTGTGGTAACGCTTTTACTTATATGCCATCCCTTGGAAATTCTGGTTTCCCTTCCATTTAAATACTGGGACCTTAATTTATTGATAGGCATGACAGTAAAATTCTTTAACCAATAGAGGTTTAGTTCAGGATACTTTTTGTTAAGATAGTTTTGGTTAGTGCTGTCAAAATGGGCTACCTGGTTCGACCCACCACGGATTGATCACTTAGCGAGCTAATCCGACTCACTTATTAGCACGTTGAAAAAAATTGAATCCGGTCTGGCCCGGTCCACCATGGGTTGGTGGGTTAAACGGGTTGGTTTACTGGCTCACTTAATTACAAGTTTTTTTTTTCAATTACAAAAAAATAAATAAAAATCTAATTCAAATCTAAATAAATTTCAGTCTAAAATTATAATAAAATTCAGATACAATTCAAAATAAAAAAAATACAATCAATCCAAAATGATCTTAAACTTCAAATATATTCCAAAACAAGCAAACAGCAAAATTATGTGGGTTGGTGAGTCAACCGGTCATGGGTTTACCCTGGGTGGGTTGGGTTTTTAATGGACCAGACTCAACATTTGCTCGTATAAAAATTTAAATTATTTTTTCAACTCAACCCAGTCCAAACCTATGGTGGGTTGGATTGACTTATGAATTCAAACCTATTTTGACAACACTAGTTTCGGTATGTCCTCTGTTTCCTTATTCCTAATACTCTCCAATTTTAGTACAGTGGTCATGATTCTGAATCACTGCTAGCTAAATGTCTGATAGATACACATTAGTTGGGCAGTTACAACATTTTCGGTTAGTTTATCAAATAAATGATGCGTGTTGCCTATAAACAAGGAAGGTTAAGACAGAGGACATCTTGTCATTTGTGAGGAAATTATGGCCTCTCTAGTAATGATACCAACTTTCTATCAATGTCCCAGTCATCAGTTCATACATTAACAGATTAATTCAGTTCGTGGCATTAATTTTTTCATTCAGAACCTTTATTAATCTACGGATCATATATATTCTTGTGGTTACAAACACCTCGGTTGCGATAAGATTCTTAAATCAGCTATTGAAAAAGATTCTTAAATCAGCTATTGAAAAAGATTCTTAAATCAGCTATTGTCTTAGGTAATGTTAAATGAGCTACCCAATTAAATTGTAACCATGGGTTGGGTTGATAATAGCTTGTCTTTGTTATGCCAATACGTTCTTCAAGTTCATTGAAGGTCTACTTCAGTACTTCATATATACGATGGGCACTAGGAGCATATAGAATATTGTTATTTGCGACTTATCTTGATTATTTGAGGTTAAGATGTCCAAAATATGCTTGGAATACGGTTTATACTCCTTATAAGACTCTTCTTTGAGCTAGCATTTGAGGTAGGACCAGCTCTTTCGTATCTGGTGTCATAGCCTGTGTAGTTTTCATAGTTTGTTGCTCGTTGCGAATGTTTAGTCTTGGGCATGAGGCGGTTGTATTGAGATGTCTCACATTGACCAAGAATGTGACTAGAATACTCTTACCAGACTTGTGTAATCCTCCTCTTTTGAGTTAGCGTTTGGAAGTGAGTTGGGACCAGTCCATTTCTAATATGGTACTAAGGCCTATCCAGATATGATATTGGGCCAACTGCAAATGTCCAATCATACAAATTTCACGCTATAGATGTTTAGTCTTGAGTATGATAGGAATGTATTAGATATTGATTTTATTCATTATTATTGTATTTCTACTTCATTGTAACTAGGAATACTTATGTGTGTACCCCACATACGAAATTCATTATATTCCTTTTTGACTTCTCCCACCCCAACGTGGTACTATAGCAGTACTCTCTTCCGTTACTTTATTTTGTCTCTATCTCTTTCAATAGCATTAACATGTGCATAACTTTTATTTCCAGGTTCTCGTTAATCTTCACCAGGCTGTTATTCCTCATCTATCTAATCCCATCATCTTATGGTAAGCATCTATTGCTCTACTAACTTTAGCAATTTATTATGATAACAAGAAGTTGAATCTGGCATCATGTTACTTTTTATTGTGTGCAGTGATTTCTTAACAAGGTCATATGATGTTGGTGGTGTAGTCAGTGTGATGGCTCTTAGCAGCCTTTTTGTCCTAATGACCCAGTATGGCTTGGAATATCCAAATTTCTATGAAAAACTATATGCCCTCTTAGTTCCATCCACCTTCATGGCAAAACATCGAGCAAGGTTTTTACAGGTAATTTTTGTTAATTATTATTTTTACTTATGACAGGTAAAAATAGACAAAGTAGAATTTTGAATAAAAAAATGCTTTCTGTTCAGAAGTATGAAGGAGATATTAAAGTTCTATGATGGAAATTAAGTGAGTTGGCAAGCGTAATTTGTAGAGATTAAGTGAATGATTATAAAGGTTTTGTCCGATGCAAATCATATGCATGAGCTGCTTGCTAACAATATGCAACTTCCTAATTGCAGCTTCTTGATTCTTGCCTCAAGTCACCTCTTCTTCCAGCTTACCTGGCTGCTTCCTTTGCAAAGAAACTGAGTAGGTTGTTGCTTTCGGTTCCTCCTTCAGGGGCATTAGTTATTACGGCTCTGATTCACAATATTTTGCGTAGACATCCTTCAGTCAACTGTTTGGTGCACCGGGTAAATACAGCTTCCTTTCATCTGAATTTGTTGTCTAATACTTTAAATTTTGGTTTCTTGATTGCATCTTCAGTGTAAGAGACCAGGTTGATAAAAACAAATTAATCATTGAACAGCTGGAGACACTTATTTAAGACTTGATGGTTCTTAACACTAAATTAAAATAAAACATAATTATAGTTTCCTAACATTTAAAGTACAAATTAAAGGCCAAATCAAATATATCTTAATACTTAGGTTTATGCTTGATCAAAATACAGTGGTGTCCATTGACAATGACAAATTTAAATCTAGAATAAAAAAGACCACAAATTACTATACTATAAAATTTAAAGAAAGGAAGATATAAAAAAATTGTCAATTAATGAGTGACTAAATTATGTTTTGTAAAATAAAAATTAGTTATAATTGGTAAAATAATTCATTCCTATGTGTTATCCTTTTTAAATGTTTTTTTATTTATCTTTAAAATGATTTTTGTTAAAAAAAAAAAGCATTTAGTTTTAAGAATACTAATTCAAACCGGCTTTGGACCAGTTTTCATTAGTTGAGTAGAATAAGTTTTTCGGTGTAACTGAACTTGTTCCTAGTTGAACCAGTTTGTTCAGTTTTAAAAACAATAGTTGAAGAAGTTTTTTTTTTTTTTTTTCCGGTCACCAGACCTGAACCATGGGCTTTGATACCAGATGTTGTGTAGGTTCAATATACACACATATCTATAGATTTCCACACTAGTAAGATATTGTACGTTTTGGGCTAAGCCCTCACGGATTTGCTTTTAGTACCACTCCGAAAGACCTCTTACTAAGGGAGATATCTTATGTGTATATAAATCCTTGTCTATTTCATATTTTATCCGATGTGAGACTTTGATTGTACCCAACATCCTCCCCTCAAACAAAAGGGTTATGGTTCTTCTACCTCCCCTATAGCGGAAGTTTTCTTTTTTTTGAAGTTTTTTTTCTTTTTTTTTTCCGGTCACCAGACCTTAACCATGGGCTCAGATACCAGATGTTGTGTAGGTTTAATATACACACATATCTATAGATCTCCACACTAGTAAGATATTGTCCGCTTTGGGCTAAGTCCTCACGGATTTGCTTTTGGTACCACTCCAAAAGACCTCTTACTAAGGGAGATATCTTATGTGTATATAAACCCATGTCTATTTCATATTTTATCCAATGTGTGACTTTGTTTGTACCCAATATCCTCCCCTCAAACAAAAGGGTTATGGTTCTTCTACCTTCCATATAGCGGAAGTTTTTTTTTTTTTTTTCCAGTCACCAGACCTGAATCATGGGCTCTGATACCAATTGTTGTGGTTTTAAAGTATAAGTGGCAAAAGAATGAAAGGGAAATTGATACCAGATGTTGTGTAGGTTTAATATACACACATATCCATAGATCTCCACATTGGTAAGATGTTGTCCGCTTTAGGCTAAGCCCTCACGGATTTGCTTTTGGTATCACTGCAAAAGGTCTCTTACCAAGGGAGATATCTTATGTGTATATAAACTCATGTCTATTTCATATTTTATTCGATGTTGTTTGTACCCAACACTAGGAAAAAGGAGTAGAGCAGTGATACTGAAATCGAAGTGTGTTGGGCTCATTATATGACCGCTTCTTCATTTGAAAGACAGTATATGACTATATGTCACGTTTTGGACTGACTTTTCCGTTTGTTTCAAGTTATTATTGCATTCAATGAGGTTGTTCAACTGCTGTCTTATGTTAGCTTTGTGGATTGGATTGTAGCTTAACCATGCAATGGGTGGATGTGGAAAAGAAAAATGTTAGCTGTGGCCTATAACGTATGATCATTTGAAATTAATTTTGGCTTGGCTTGGACAACCATATATTTTGATGAACTTTTTTTCTTCCAGATTGGTTGTATGTATAGTAGATGGTTGCCACTGTCTTTGTTTGCTCAATTCTTTTTCTTTTATGAGTAGCTTAGACACTGGATTCTTGGTTAAGAATGATCTGGCAAGGCTAGGTGATTGAATCTGGAGTTGGTCTTATATCGAACATTATAAGAGAAATGTAGAGGATTATGAAAGAAGAGAGACTTTATAAAAAATGGTACTGCCTGAGGGTGAAGCTATGAATACTTTTGGGTTTTCTTTTACTTCCGCTGTCATAATTCGGCAATGGGTTTCCCTAGGGGATTGGACCTTTAAAATAGTCAGTAGCCAGTTTGCTTAATGTCATATTTAGAATGGAATTGCAAAGTGGAATTGTACATGTCAAGAAAGTAGTTGGAAACCTTAATTTCATTTTTTTTATCACTTTCTTAGGGCGTGTTTATCATGTCAAATTTGAAAATCTCCTTCCTATTGGAAGTTGGTAAGGATATGTCTGTTAATGTGTTGAAAAATATTTCTTTCTTTCTATTTTGATTTGATTTATAATTTCTGATATATGAGCAGGAAAATGGTGTTGACGAAGGGAAAAGTGACCATAGAACAGATGAAGGAACAACTGCCAACTCGGATAATGTTAAGACTAGTGCCATACCTTGCCAGAAACCAGGCATTGACCATTTTAACAATACTGAAACCGATCCCAAGAAGTCAGCTGCTATGAGTAAGTATCTTTGATATTTATTTTCCAATCTAACTTCAGTCTATCCAAATCAGACCTTGCGAATGCTGGAAAACTGCGTGATTGTATACTAGAGAATAAAACACACGCACTATGCAAAAGCGCATAATGTTTCTTATTTGTATACTAGAGTAAACAGATTAAGCATGACATTATGAATCACAGATTAAATTTTCTGCATCATTGGATTGATGATATATTCCGATTTCAAAATAGTCCCCCTTTCCTGGTTCCTATTATCGTGAGTGTACATAACTTTTATGGTTTGTTTAGTTAAAGGGGGATTTTAATTAGATATCTTGTTTGGTTTACAAGGAGTGGAGGGATGTTTTAAAAATTTTAATTTTGAATTACGAAACATAAATAGGGTTATTGGACAAAATATTTGAAATATTTTAAATCTCATCCCCTTTCCTCCAAAGCCCCCAATATTAGAGGAGAACGATAATTGAAGAGATACTTTTCTCTCCTTTTGCCTCCCTTAAATTGAACCAAACAAGAAAAGTTAAAAAAAAACTCCTTTCCCCCTCCCCTCCCCTCCATTTCTCTCTAACTAAAAGGTATGTCAGGTTTGAATTGTCAGCAGAGGATGATGTTTCTCACTTAAAAATTCTATTGCCATAATTTTATATTTGGTTTACCAGGAAAAATTCTGGGTTAGTCGGAACTTCATTACCTGTATAAATTTCTACATTTATATATTACTTTTATTAGTCTAAATTTATAAATTTTGACAGACATAGTAGGTCTGACTTTTGAGCATCATGGGGGTGGAAATCCCCTAGTTTAATAAGTATTTAAGGAAATGATATTCTGCATTAAATCCCCTAGTTTAATAAGTATTTAAGGAAATGAAGTCAAGTAGTCAACTATTTTCTTGGTAAGAGTTACATGATATTTCCTGGTTTTCTATACTGGTTTTATTGATGAGATCTGTTGGAGCAGGGAGTTCTCTTTGGGAAATTGACACTATTCTTCACCACTACTGTCCTCCAGTCTCAAGGTAAGTGTTTTGAACTTATTTACTTTATTAATATTTTTTATTTTCCCTGTACCCCACTTTTATTTCAACTGTCGTATCTGGATCTTGACATACTAACCTTGAATGTTTGTACTTTGCCTGTGCTCTTAGGTTTGCTTTGTCTCTTGGGAATGATTTGACAGTGAGGGCCAAAACAAGTGAAGTTAATGTCGGTGACTTTAGTGCTGGTTCATATGCAACAATCCTTGGAGCAGAGGTGATATAATAATTGCTCTATTTTCTCTTTGCTTCTCATGACGGGCTTATATTATTTGAGACTTGTAAGAGAAAGAAGAGAATGTGCCTATTGCTCATTGTCTTACATGTGTCACATTGCATGATTGCAGATAACGCGGAGGGTAAAGCAGGTACCCTTAGCATTCTACAAAGCAACTCCTTCCTCTTTGTTTTCAGAGACTGATTTTGCTGGTTGGACTTTCAAAAGTGAAGAAATCCCCGAAATGATCGATGAAAATAATGAGCGAAGTACTAAAGATCTATTGTAACCTAAATTTTGTTCTGTGAAACGACATGATAGAGAATTTGCGATTCATTTTTGTCCATTTCATTAATATGCCTGCATGTTTTAGGAAAGATGTGGCTCGTTTGTCCATTTCATTAATTTGCGATTCGAGGTAGTAGAAAAGGGAGAGGAGGGAAAGGGGAAATCTTCGGGTTCGCTTGTTATAATGAGTAAATTAATTTGATGTGTTAGATGAAACAGTCGGAAGATAATTCTAGTCACATTTTTTGTACGGTAGCATGATATGTATTCACTCTATAGCACATCATTTGAATCATTCGTTGACGTTTGTGGATAACTTGTCAAGGTTGAGGCCAACTTTCACGCAGGAGTTCACGCTATTCTTGAAACGATGTTTCTAAATCTATGAAAAAGGTTACATTGCCAATATGTTATACTCCATAAATACGCTATACAAATACTTGAAAGCCACTGATATAACGTGCCAATTTTTCGGAAAGTTAATTTATCCGTTATAAGCTAGTTAAAAACAGGTATTAGGTTTACATTCTATAAATGAATTATGTGATGATTGTGTGTATTTTAACTTTACAAAATAAATGTAAGTATGAATACATGCCAATATTTTTTTACCTATAGGTATGATATATATTGAAATAATAAAAATTGCATAAAGTACTTTGAAGGTATTATTCTTTTATTAAATATTTCCTTATAGAATATATATCTCAAATATTTATACATTAATAAAGTAGAAAATAATTAATCTTATTCTATGATTATGAAAGGAAGTGTTTCGTTGAAGTTTAATTTTTTTATGGTTATTACTGGTTTTGCATAGTAGTTTCTGAAACTGCTTTTGACATTCCAAAATACATGGAAATCATCAGTCTTCAGGAGTACATCTGAGACATACTTTTAATATTGAAATCAGATATACAATCATGAAAACTATATGCAGATACCATATTTGGTGTGATGATTCACGTATGTTTATCATATTTGAAATTTTGAGTATGAAAATATGAACAGAGGTCGTGGCTGAACATATTTGTGGCGCTCTTGAGAACAACTAGAATAAGGTTTCTTTATATCTAATGACTTCATGGGATGTTGAGACACTTTCTGTATTGTTGGATATTTCTTTTACTTTTAAAAGCGATTTTAAAGACAATGATGAGCGGAAAGTTGTTACTCCTTGATGAAATTTGAAACATTTAGTCATCAAGAATAACCGTAGGTGGAACCGTATACTTTGACAGTGCCACCAGAAGATGGCATGTGGTAGATCTTACACAATATATTGATGGCTACATGCACTTGTTCTATACCAATTACCTTGCTCTGCTCCTTTAATTTGATATCTTATGTACAGTGTGTTATAGAAGAGTTTGTAGTTCAATGCTATTTTAGAATCTGTGACAAAAATGTATTTTAGCCCACAATTAACAGAAGGATGGTCGTAGACGAGACTCATTATTGAGAAATCACGTCCACCACATTCAACATCTCCGGAATAAAACTCAGAGGGATGACGTGTAAGAGAAAACTAAAAATCCTTGTTTATCTCTGATTTTATTTATTTGGTAATCTTAATTGTAGATACTTTTGTTAAAAACAGTGGTTGAGCACTGAAAACTATAAGAAGGGACATTGTAAAAAAATAAAAATAAAACCAAGCGTTGTGAACTCTGGAAACATCTTTGAAAAAGATAGAGTAGAGACTCACGTGGCACCTCTGACCATCTCATGCCTTACAATATTTAAAGCAATGATCTTAGGCTTTTTGTTTTGGAATGAATAAATTTTAGCTTCATTTCTTTCTTGTTCTCCACATTTAGTGTGTGTTCAGGTGATTTTCTATTTACGAGAATTAGCAAGGATGAATTTACGAGAATTTTGTGTTGCTTGCGCTGATTGTGAAGACAGAAAAGTGATGATTTATGAGATTTCACTGTTTTAAACATCTTGTTAATTTGATAGGATTTACGCTAATTTAGATGTAAAATACTTATATATCCTTTACTATTACTAAAATTCCACAACTTTCCTCACCCATGCATAATATAAATAAACGACAATATTAACGTTTGAAACGTTATTCGATTCTTAACTTTAATAATCGATTCCAAGCCACTGAACGAAGCATAATATAAAAAAGCCATGCATTGTGCTATCACGAGTAAATATTACTGTCGCTGTCCATGTGAGGAGTAAGTTTGCACTGTCCTGGGCATGCATTTCTGGCTTTTGCAACTTGCTTTTGCAGCCCATTGCAATGTCCGTAGCTGGCGAGATTCTATGCTTGACACAACCATTCACTGGAAAGGAGAGATTTCTGGCAAAAGAGGTTTGAATTTGAAAACAAATGAACACCATTAATACCACGCTGGTTGGTAGATAAGTTTGGTCTGTGTATTAACTGATGCTTGTGTGTTTACATAGAGACAACGAAGTTTGAGCACCAGTGTGTTTACTTTGAGCAACTTTGTGCGAGTGAGAGTTGTGTCTGTGTGCTGAAGTATTGTGTTGAGAGTGAGTAGTTGTGGAGTTGAGGTAATCTTTCTTTTGATTTTGATGTGGTTGTTGCAGGTTGAAGCCGTGTGATTAAGTTGAAGACGAAGAGAGGGGTTAATGGATAAGGAAGTACGCGCTTGATGTTGAGGAGGCAACTAGATGAAGATGGCGAAAGCTTGAAGCAGCGGTTGAAGAAGAGATGTTCATGGTTGTGTATTCCGATCCACAGAAGAGCGTATCTGGTTCCAGGTTTTCAAAGAAGTTGCAAAGCACGCGTATTTGGTTACAAACTTGGCGTATCCGGTTCCAGGCAACATTGTATTCAATTCTTCGCATGTTTATTCGGTTCTGCAAGCGTCGTATCCGGTTCTGTGGTTGTTGTCTGTGTTGTATCCGATTGCATTCACTGGTTGAGAGCGTGTAAAGCTTCGTGGGTGCGTTATTTGGTTCCCCATAGCCGGATTCCTTCCTCCGTTGCATTCATTCGTTAGTAGAAGCGTGTTAACCTTCGTGCATGGGCTGATGCGATTATCATGTGATTGGTCTCGCTGTCAAACATGCACATCCCATGGAAGCAATTATGGCTTTGGGGTTGAGGAGAAGGCCACAGAGGATGAAGGTGTGTTCGTAGCACTACCATTCGAGGTAGACAGAGACGCATGTGGAGAAAGGGAGGAGGGAGATGTCTGCGATGGAGAAGAGGATGAAGTTTTGTGCGGTGGAGGATATATGGTGGTCCTGACCGCAACATAAGACTATGGACGAAGCAATAATAAGGAGAGATTGATGGGGATGGAGGTGGAGAGGAGGAGGAGGACGGTTCTGTGAAGGGTGAAGGCCAAAGTTTTGCATTGTTTTGTGTCGTAGGCTTGGCCGCAAATGGGTTCCATGAACATGTACCTGCAGCAGCAGCCCTAGAGTAACATATGGAGTTGAAGGATTTCATTTTTAATGGTAGTAGGCTAACCCTTTGTATGTGTTGCATGTTTTTGGAACGAGAAGGTGCATTTGGAAAGCTAAGGAGGTGATGTGAGGGATAAGTACCATGTCCAGGTTAGGGAGATATCTTCTGTCCATTTAGTTTTTACTTATATTGTTAAAGACAACCTTGTTCTTAGATGTGTAGCTTAGTGAAGTTCATTGAAAAAGCTTACTAAACTTGCTCTTATACTATCATTAGAGAATCTTTGAGGTTGAAAAAGCTTGGTGGTTGTATGTTAAAAATTTTGATGTATTACCTGGTTGAGCTTCCTAACTTGGTGTGTTGAGGCATTACGTGGAGTTCATTGAAGACGCATGGTGTATAATGAATTGAAGGTACATGTTTAACAAAGTTTTATTTTTTCTAACCATTATTTAATATAAGATATTGATGTTCTTTTTTTAACAAGTTTCGCTTGTTTGGAATTGTCACTCTTTTATTTGAAAATTGACAATTGAAATTACCTTCTTATTGGGAGTGCGTATCGCATTGGTTCAATCTTCATTCAAATCTTGGTTCAAATCTTCATAAGTCTCTTCAATAGGTATGTTTTATATTATTGTATTTAATTAATATGCATGAATATGGTTTATTTATTGAATATATATATATATATATATATATATATGATTATATGAATGTACTCTGTTTAATTATTATATTAATGCATCAATTTCTTAATAAGGTATGATTATATGAATATATGAATATAGTGATATTGTTGATTTTAGTTGTATGTATAAAGTTATTAAAATGTATATATTTTGTTAAGTAAATATAGATGGAAGAAGAACTAGATTTATCATATTTGGACCATGAAGATATAGATGATGATGTGGTTGGTGTAGACTTCAATATAGTTGCAAAGTTACGTCAAAAATTACAAGTAACCATTTCACTAGCTACACTAACAATGTTATGCATTGTTGGACATGCGTTAAGTATCTTGAATATGTACTTGAGTGATTCGAGTAGTGTAAGCAATTTCCTACCAGACAGAGACCGTCGTAGGGAGCAATTAATGTCATACATTGTGCATACTAATCGGTGTCGCGACATTATAAGGATGGGTCCAGAGGCATTTATTAATCTTTGTGAGAGACTAAGAACAACTGGGTTAGTTAAGGACGTCATTCGATCGATAGTGGAGGAACAAGTTGCTCAATTTCTTCATAAAATTGGCCAATGTTAAGAATCGAAGTGTCACATTTTTCTTTCATCGATCTGGGGCGACAATTAGCAAACACTTTCACAATGTGTTGGATGCTATTTTAAGTTTGGAATTTGAATTTTTAATTCAACCCTCAGGAAATGAGGCTAATCCATATGTCTTGAACAACAATCGATTTTACCCGTACTTTAAGGTGCTCATTTGAACATATTTGAAGATTTTATTTTATCAAAGGATGATTAAAATTTTTGAGTTTTATGATGACTTGTTAATTGTATGTTTAGGATTGTTTAGGGGCCATAGACGATACTCATGTTTGTGTAAAGGTGCCAAGATTAGATGCTCCGAGATTTCGAGGAAGAAAAGATTGACTAACTCAAAATGTGTTTGCAGCGTGTGATTTTGATATGAAATTCACATACATTCTAGCTGGGTGGGAAGACACTACATTTGATTCAAGAATTTTAAAAAGTGATCTTGATCGAGATGATTCGTTGGTTATCCCCCAAGGTCAGTGTCTATATTGCGATGTTGTTCATTTTATTTATTAGTGACTAAATACCTGTATGTGTACAACATTGTAGGAAAATACTATCTTGGTGATGCTAGATTTATGTTGAAAAGCACAGTTT